GTAGAGTTACCGTCACTTCACTAAGAACAGGTAGAGTTACCATCACTTTACTAAGAACAGGTAGAGTTACCGTCACTTCACTAAGAACAGGTAGAAATGTGAAATGTATCTGCCTGCCTACATGTTGACTGTTTCTAATCATCAATCAGTATCTTCCACACAAACTAACACTTCTTCTTCTGTGGTGTCCCAGGTGAAACGATGTGGAGCTGCAGTCCGTGGGTTCTTCTGCCTCCTGCCTACTCTGTGTGCACAGCCGTGGGACTGTGGGTGGTGTGAGTTCAGTTCATTACAGGACTGCATGTGACCACCACGTCTGTTTCCATGGATGAGTTACTGAATGGGCCAAACAGGCCCAAGCAAGGGGACCCAAACTGAATACAAATACAGTATTGGTTGTATGTTTTCTGTGGACACTCTGAGATTATAGATACAGTAAAATTATAACAAAGTATTTTGATGTATTTCAATAGATACTTCGTCGCTGTCAGGGATGAGCAGGTCGTGCCCCTGAGCTCACAACACATGTAAGAATCGAATCAATATCATTTATTGCCAATGATCATTTTTCAATTCCTTTGGAATAATATTATTTGTTACATTTATTTTCAGCAGAATAAATTGATCCAGGTATCCTCCATTCATTAGGTACATACTCACATTTCCTTTTCACAGTAAAAGCACAGCCACTGTGTTTATTTTAGTTAAGCAAATACAAAATGCTCCTGCTTCCTCTTCTCAGTGTTGCAGGCAACTTTCCACCAGCCAGCTGCATCTTCAGCGAGGTCATGAACCTGGCGGCATTTGTTGGTAAGAGCAGTGATTGCAGTTAACACACTGTAGTTATAATACAGTTAAATACTGTCTCAAAACATTCTCACTTCCTAACCCCATCTATGGCCTTCAGCCTAAGCTTATGACCAGAGGTTGCAAAAGTACAAGTACTCTTCACTCTAGTACAAGTACAGATATTTCTCTTAAAACATGCTCAAGTAAAAGTACAAGTACTGATTCAACCTCTTTACTAAAGTTAATAGTATAAAAGTACAGGCTCTGAAATGTACTCAAATTATAAGTTATTCTATTCTTCACTCTCTTCCATGTTGTTACAGACACATCTCTCCCTGACAATGGAAAGCCGGCGTTCAATGATATAAAATGGAATGGCACATAATTGAATGGATAGGATCAAACCATAGACTGAACATAAAGATAGAGAGCGTGTCCATCTGTATTAGTATAAAAATGAAGATAAAATATACTGGATACAGTTGCTGCCATCTTGGCAGCAGTGATCCTGATGTGGAGTTGCAGTATCAAGGTCCAGCGCCTACGTGTGCTTGACCAATCATCTGTAGTGTCAAATAATTAATTAAAACTAAACTCATCACAAACATCAGTGCGATAAGAACTACCTGTAATGACCATTAAAAACCAGAATAAGGCGATCAAGATGGTTTGACTTTTGAGAGCTGTCATGATGTCCATCTCTATATACAGACTATGACTCAAACAGGATATACAAGTAGAATAAATCCAGCTCTTTATCTTTATTCATTTTCCACTGGTTCCTTCTTTATTACAGGGTTGATTATTGCCGTCCTGAGATACCTTCAGCTGAAACACACCACGGTCAAACCATGGCTGAATTTTGGTAGTCTTGTGTGTTTTGCCATTGGCTGCTTTGGAATGACACTTGTAGGAAACGTCCAGGTAGTACATCAGCAGATACATATACATGTATTTAACTAGAATGTAACTTAGTATACCACATACCTCTGCCAAGGCCCAACAGTCCCCTTAAATTCAATCAATCAGTACCCAATTGCACACACACATATTTATCAGTACCATGAATATGCCAGATTTCTTTCATCAAGCTTAACATGATGGTTAAAATCCGCCCCACCAAGTTTGGTGGCAATCCATCCAGTACTTTTTGCATAATCCTGCAAACCAACAAACCAACAAACACCAATGAAAACATTACCTCCTTGGCGGAGGTAACACTGGTTCATAGGATGGATTCATCTCCAGCTTCGGTTCACGGGAATTGATCTTTGTTGTTTTGGTTTTAGGTATTCGCCAATCAGAACATTCACGAAGCGGGCACACTTATGACGTTTGGGCTGGGAACGCTCTTCTGCTGGGTGCAGTCCTACATCACCCTGAGAGTGAACCTGAGGAACGAGGGGAGGAAGGCGGGAATCAGTCGTTTCCTGTTGACTGGAGCCGTCACTGTCTGCATGATCGTCCGTATCCTTTAACTCAAACCGGCTCGAGAGAGTGATGGACACATTCAAATGGTAATCGCTGAAATATTGTATTTTATGAATTTGAATAGTTAAAATGGCTGCAACTGAAATTCATTTATTATAAATTAGAGTTTAAGAAATGATTTAAGTGAGTGTTCAGTTCAGTGAGTTTACAGTTCAAAACTGCTCATCCAGGATCAGACAATGTTCAGTAAATCAACTTATTATTAATGTGGCTATTATTATGATATCTTTATCAAAGCATGTTTTCCCCTTAACTCACGGGTGCAGGTCCGGTCCTGATGTCAGAGAAGCTCCACATGCAAGCAGCCCGATGCCAGTGGGCGCTGGTCATGTTCTTCCTCATCTTCATCGGCACTTTTGCCGTCGAGTTTCGTCACAACCGCTTTGAGATGGTGTGCACAGATAACTCAGCGACCCACTCTGAAGTGCACAGTGACGAGTTGCACCAGCTGTAGGGACGTCACACTGTCTCACATCTGAAGGTCATCAGGATCAACTGCATGAGGCGCATGAGATGCCTTTACACCATCTTAAGGGTTTATCATTCCATTGTTAACAATAGCGACATGTGAGGGTCTTTGTTTTGAGCTTTTCTCCTCTTATCGACCACTTTAAGTGTTTTGCACAACAATCCACACTCACACATACTTTATGCTGTGCTTTTTTTGAATCAAACATTTGCACAGATGTTCGTGGCAATTTTGGGTTTGGTATTTTGACCAAGGACACTTTGGCATGCGAACTGGAGGCGCTGGCAATCAAACTGCCATCTATCTGGTTAATGGTCGACCTGCTCCATTTTCAGAGTCAAGGTCGCCATCGACCCATGTTCATGTTTTGAAAAAAATGCAAAAATGAACCTTTCAAACTTTTTTTACTTTTCAAATGCTTTAGTTTTGCTGATATGCACAGTAAAGAATACAATAAATAAAAATACAGAAACATTTGTCTCTTTCTATACACCCAAATATCATTGGACATTTTGAACAACTTATTTTAAATGACCTGATTTTGATGTTTTTTGTTTCCCTCACATATCTTTCTATCTCCCATAATATTGAAAAATTGAATTTGAAATGTCTGGCACATAAAGCAACATTATTATCTGCATGGATCAACACCACAAGTGAGAGTGAGAAACTTGTTTTATAGTTTGTGAACGTGCCCTTTGAGCCTTTCACATGAAGTATTTTAATAAACAACCATGTGAATTACAGCCGTAGCATTTTTTAGACTTAACTGCACATTTAAACTGAGTGAGGAGACTGGCTTCTGTGTGAGACACAGCATTTTTATTGGAAGTAATTTTCCTGAACAATAACAATGATGTTTCACACATAAATTAGAGATTTAGCAATTTTAGGTAACTCCAGAAACCCACATAATATATGAACTACGATGGCACGTTTAAATAGACACATTCAGACATTCCAACACTTTTGAAATGAGAATTCTCTCTTGGCAGCACCTCTGCTGGGTGCATCTACATGTATACTGTTCTACTTTCTACAACATTACAGGTTGATTACTGGATACAACATCATACATGTGCAACTCATGTACATGTGGAGGGAGGAAACAAGTGGACAATGTATACAAAATGGTGACAAAATACAATATGCTTGCTTGCACACGCACAGTTTGGACGTTTCGATCAACACTGATGACGTTCAGGAGTGGCGATCAAATACAGTTCATCTAAAAAGGTAAAAAGGAAGGGTAATCTCACATGTCATATCTACAGCTTTCTGTCGTCTTCCCAGTCAATGCAAAGGTCCAATGTGAGTGACTTTCCAATTCAGCTCCTATTACACCCTGTGTATGTTTCCACTGATGTGAAAGGCATCCTGAACTGAGAAGATGGACTTCATTAGCCCTACTGATGGCTAACTGGAACTCCAGCAGCATCCGCTTCACCTCTGGAGCGGTCTACATTGACCAAACATAAAAAAACAACAGGTTTGCAAAAAAAGGTGGTTTGTTGGGAGGGGTGGGGGGGCAAAGAGGAGAAGGAAAAGGTCATTATGACACGACGTCAGAGGAGATCTCCTCGTCTTCCTCTGCGTTAAACTCTACCCATCAGTTCAAGCTGGTTAAAGGATGTGATGAGATTGTAGTGGGCCCGCTCGTCGTCGGTCAGCTCTATGTTTCCAGCTCTCAGCACCACCAACACGTTCACCCCAGCTTCTTCAGCTGCTTTGGCCTCTGCAATGACAAATCCATAAGTAACTTAATTACGGTGAATCCAAAATGTGATCCAGACTTTAATTCCACAATGACAAAGCCATACTGCAGGACGATGTGCTGTGGGGAGTGTTTTTTATACATGGGTCACTGTTTTGTTTGTTTAGTGATGTGATACAGTCCTTCCAGAGATTTCACCCTCCTCCACTGATCAAAAGCTAAGATACAATTTAAAACTAATCAATTTAGCTGCGTGTACACATGGAGACAACACTACTTCAGTTTTCAAGCCCAAAAGACAGAGACTTTTGGACAGGTCCTGTTTCATTTTGAAAAGTCCGGGTTGTGTTTAAGTCTGGTCGGAGAGAAACAGACCTGTGACTTTGGCCCTCTTCTGGTAGAAATCAAACAGCATTTGGTTTCGACTACCAATGGTGTTGCTGACCTTGTTCTCACACAAACACACCAGCTGTTTGTTTACAAGCAGAGGAGGCAAGCTGTTGTTTGAGAAATCTGTGATAAAAACCTGATTATAGCAAAGTCTTTCAAACGGTTAAAGAAGGTGTTTCTCCTCCTCGACCATGATCAGGCAACATGAAAACCTCAACTCTGACACTTATCCTCAGCACAACATGTGATACACTTACCTCGAGTGACGTCTGTCAAGAACGTGATTTCCTCCGGTTGGCAGCCAATTTTCTCTGCAATTCTCTCGTAGCTTTTGACTTCCACTTTAGCTCCTATACTGGTGTCAAAGTGACCATCAAATAACTGCAAACATTCAAAAGCAAACATCGCATTAGCCACAACATATAAATATGACATTAGCAGCATTTTACAGCTGCTTCTAACCAATCAAGACAAAGTTCCGAGACATAAAATGTAAACCATCGTTGTGTACTTACGTCTAAAACATCTCCTTCGACAGAGTATCCGAACAGAAGTTTCTGAGCCTCCACGCTTCCAGAGGAGTATATGTAGATTTTAAGGCCCTGTCCTTTCCATCTTTTGATGGATGGAATTACATCCTGATAGATCCTGTTGGCAACAAGCCCAGCGTCAGAAAAAACAGCTTTTTATATCTTTTAAAAAGCTTAACAAAGCTGACGGTCTCATGTATAATGTACAGGAAAATATTATTGTGATTCATCTCAATCATTTTTCATTCTGCTAACTGTATAAGTTTGTCATCTGTGAGGATTTGATCAATTTCATCAACCGTTAGTGGGACAAGTGAAGTAGGCTCAGCTTGAGCTTGATGGAAAATGTAACATTCTCTGTATGGGACACAATCACTTCTCATGACGTGTGTGTCTTCATGTTTTCCAACGTCTCAGTTTTTAATGTGATAACGATGGTACTGGATGTTGTGAGAATAGTCCTGGTTGATGGAGTAAGTATATTTGGGTACATACAATATTCGCTTTGACCTCACCGACTCATTACAGATCACCTGTACAACTATATACATTTTGAAGTGAGGAAAATGATCAGTGTACTTACTCGCCTTTGATTCTCCCTGAAGCATACGCCGACCTCCACATGTGACCTTGTAGTTGTTTGAGTGCTGTCGACTTCCTGTCTGCCGCCATCTGCCACAGTACATTATCCACCACTTCTCTAATGGCCTTCTCCTCATCCGTGTGAACCGTCTGGTCCACGGCGTGGACAGGACACGCCCGGTTCTGTTTCATGTCTTCTTCAATCTGCCACAACAGTCAGGCTTTTTGTTAAACATGCATTCAGTTAAGGTATTTATGGATGTAATTTCAGGTATTAGTAGTTCAGTAGTGTGTCCTGAGGCAGGAGCTTCCCATCAGGGGTATTAACATTTAATTTTAACAAGAGTCTTTTACATTATAACACCAAAGAAAACCACAGATTTTTTAATATACAGGTCCGATAGTGCCTGAAGTAGTTACAGCAATTTGATCAATTTAAATTTTAACTATTTGCAGGGTCTTGCACCTCACATCCCCATATTTTCGGCTTTAGCACATCAGATTCAAAGAATTGTATTTGACATATAATGGAAGGGTCAAAGTCTCTATTCTTTACTCATAACATGCCGACATACGTACACATGCAGAAATAAGTCACAACCTTTAAAGACCTCAGATGAAAGTAAAACTTGCTCTTGATTCTGTCAGTGGGGAATCCCACATGGAAACTCCTCACGCCGTTACCTGTTTTTTTAGGAGATGAACATCTTGTTTGCACTCGTCTTCTTCCCAGTGAGTCGACAGGTGATCCTCAAGATGCTCCCTGATGTATGGAAATAAGATGTCCTGAAAATTACAAAGACAGTTCATTAGGTGTGTTATCAGAGCCTCCGTACTCACAGAATGTACTGGTTCATATTTATTTATTCATGAAAATCCCCTTCTCATTTTTAGTTCTCTTTTCCCTGGAGAAATATCCCAGAAGGTTGATTAACAACACAAACGGTTGCTCTGTAAACCATTTTCATAAGCCTTTAAGACTCTTCTAACCATCTACATGGAAGAGGGCTACAATTACTTTACATTATAATCCAGGTTTCCTAAACAGTATTATGTTGCATGGAGCTGATGTGTCATTTCTGCCTGCAATCTTTGTTTTGAGAAAGAAACAGTCAACAACTGAAAAACCAGTTGAAAGGTGCAATTATGTTCCATCCACATAGATAGATGAGTATTTAAGGATTCTGTACTTTACATCTAGTTTTAGACCACCTTGGCTTTTCAATAGACACCGGGGCTTTATTTATTTATTCTTTTAAGGCATCTTCAGATCTGCAAAGCTGTGGACTTTAACGATTAAGTGATGATGAAAAGAATCGTTTGGTGCAGCCCAACTCAAAATTGAAGTGTGTTCCTATTTACAGTGCATGTGAAAACGCTCTCTGTCAAATCAGATTCCCCCATCCACAACTACATTATTATTTTTCTGCAAGATTGCAAGACAATATGGACTTACTTTCACTTATTCACTGATCATCATTGATAGTCACGTTTGAAAGCAACATGTTTATCATTTTGCCAACATATGACATGTCCTGAGATAATATTAAACTTTAGAAACTTCAAAATGCAGATATTTATGCTTTAGAACTATTCAGGACCTTCTATACCATTCTAAAATTTCAGTTGATGAACGTATTCATTCCTTTACTTGCTTATTAATGGGTTCCTTTCACATTTGGCTTATCTTAAGAAGGCTTTTTTTTTTTTTGCTAAAGAAGCATTTCAGAAAAGACAGCCGGGTGTTAGCATGGCGGAGGAAACCTAATTAGGTACTAGCTTCATAATTAGCTTGTTACATGATTATGCGATTCACCCCGAAAACAACAACTCCGAGGAACACAACGAACCTTAACAAAAGTGATGGGTGTGGTGGTGCCTTCAATATCCAGCAAGAGTGCACTGGTCCCAGCAGGAATTTGAACAGTGGCCATTTTTAGGGGCAGCCTGCAGCAGCTGGTTAGCCGCTTGCTAACGTTAGCTGAATTAGCAGCGGTGCGGTGCGGGAGTCGGACCGGCTGTGGCTGTGCAGCAGAGCCGGGCAGGGGAGCCGGAGGGGGACGGCGGAGGCCTCAGAGAAGACAAGCGGGACACTTGAGCTGGTGCCTGGGCGCTGTTGTTTCCATCACCTGGCAGCTGGAGCTGTGACGCGGCCGTCGGAGCGGAGAGCTGCCCACATGTTCAGGTGTCGGTTCAGCCTCCAGCCCGGAGGGGGGCGGCGCTCACTGCCCGCTTCAGCGACAACCACGGAGAAACATTACCGCCACCTAGTGCTCGGGAGTAAAGGGTCGTTCGGAGGTTCCACATGGATGCAGTGGTAACACACAGAAGGTGAGGACAGGGTTGGAGGATTCAAGGGAGCTTCCCTGTCAAAAAGGGTGTTTTTAATAATTTAATATAATTAACCTCTGCTTCTAAAGTCAAGTGGCCTTGAATGCAACGAGATACCTGTTTGAGAAATGCCACTGAAGGGATAGTTGAACCAGAAATGGAAATTCACTCATTATCTACTCGCCACTATGCTGATGAAGGGGTTGGTTAAGTGTTTGAGTCCAGAAAACACTTCTGGAGTTTCAGGGGTAGCATCGTTGCAGCCAAGTCCAATACGACTGAAGTAACTGGGGACCACTATATCAACTACTGCTCCTGTGGGGTCATCCAAATGTCCTTAAGTCCCGACATTCAAAATCGACTTGAAATGTCGTGACACCATGTTTCTACATTTGAAGTGGTCACCATTTACTTCAATTGTATTGATTGCATTGAATATGTAATAAGAGAGAAAGATGAGTGATTGGAATAATGATTAATAACAACATCAGACTGAAAAGGGATCTAGAATACATTATATTCAGGCATAAATATGTTCCCTGAAAAAAGCTTGTTTGACCTTTTTGGTGTTTGTGTGAATTTTGCACTGGTGACAATCAAATTATGTTCTTCAAGAGAAGAGGTCTCATTACATGTATTTGCGTATCAGCCAGTCATGCTATGATTTCCATAAGGTTATTTACATGTTATAAAACAGCTCCTGTTGTGTTCACATTTGTGTTGCACACTATTGACAATTACTTACATCAACAATACATCTTGTTCTGATTATAAAATTTTTGTTAATTCATTCATTCACACAAACTCTGACCATATTTGTTTCTCTATATAGTTTTCCCTGAATATATATTCTTTTTCATTAATATCCTTTTATTATACCACAACGGGAGATTGACACAGATCAGAACAACAATAAGAACAACCAAGCTCAGGAGAGATAAATACATATAAACCTATGATTATTGTGTACAAGCCAATGTGGAAAGTTGTAAATAAAAAAACAAGAGGTGCAGGGTAAGGGGAAGTGGAAGGAGTACTTTACAGGAGGACAGACATATTAAATCATTCTGAAATACAGTGAGTTACTTTCCTCCAACAGGAGGTGAGTACATGTATACACAACTATACAGCCTGCTATTATTCTTATTTGGCAAGTGATGGATGATATACTCTCTGTTATCAGTATATTGGGAACACCTAGCTCAAAGCAATAAGTCTTATCCGCTATAGACTCTCGCTTTGTGAACATTATGTTCATTTTGTGATGAAAGTGTGTTTAAGACTTCAAAATTCAACTGTATGATCTGAACTGCTGTTGATTTGAGTGGGGCTGGAGCAAAAACAATAAGAACACCTGTCAACTTAATGTAATGCAGTTTGTTCTCATCAGAATCAGCATTATTTGACATGTACGTGTACAACATGGGAGTTTAATTGTGAAATTGCAATCAGTGTATTTATACAGATAGATAGGCAATTAACAACAGAATACAAAAAGCAAAATAGCTATATAGACAAATTAATAAAACTGGATAAGGTGGTGTAATTTCATTTTTCATACAAACAGGATTATGATTTTAAATAGGTTGGCTGTAACCATATTGTTAATTCTCTGTTCCCGGAGTTCACTTTCTCAACTGTTGTTTCATATCTCTTCTCAGATGTTTTGCAGTTAGTTTTTTTTGCTAGCACAATAAAATCAAGCAGCTGAATTTCTTGAATCAAAAACATATAAATGACTTTAGAAATGTTGGACATGAGAAACCAGACCCATGCTCTGTTAGACACATACCGTTACCTAACAGCAGGTGGCGCTGGAAGGTGATCCTTCTGATGTAGAAAGACTAACCCAGATTTAAGTGGGTCACCTTCATCACACATGTTTATCCAGGATAAACAAGGTTAGGTTCAATTAAACCAGATTAAGAAAACCAATCCTAGGTATGTAGCTTCATTGTAGCCCAGGTTTAGGTTTAAATTGGTGGTGTTCTACACATGACATGTAGGGGGCAGCAATGTGCCTTTGCTGCTGCAAATCAGCCGCAAATAACTGCCGCCGAAGAAGAGCGAGGCAACGATTAAAAAATTCGTCTATAAAAAAATTAATCTTCAAATTTGCAGCGAGTGACAACTGATCTTTTCTCAATGACACGAATCTAGACTCAATTTAGAGCAGCACTGCAGAGCGCTTCACTTAGTCAAACCTGCTAGCTTGCTCTGGTTAGCGTGTTTATCATACCAGCTAGCTTAGCCTCTCGCTATCGTTAGCTCGTAAACTCAGCTTTCGTTGGGAATTTCGACGCAGACTCAGTGACGCAGTGTAGCGACGGTGTCGTTTATTAGTCAGGAACCCAAACATGTCGGATGACTATGAATTCAGCGACGACACGACCCTGATGAGAATGGAGGAGGACGGAGAGGCGAACAGCGACGACCCGATGTCCGCGGCCGGGGACAGCGGCCTGATGGGGGGCGAGGCCGAGGGATCCAGAATCGACGCCAGCAAGAACGAGGAGGATGAAGGGTACTGTGACACGGGTCCACCTCAGGCCCCACGGTCCAACGCTTTACTGCGAACAGCGCAGACACCATAGCTGTGTAATAAACTAGTAACAGGTGCAGCGCCTGTAGACACGGTCCGTTATCTGAGCTGTCATGTCTGCCTCCCCCCACAGGAAGATGTTCGTCGGGGGGCTCAGCTGGGACACGACCAAGAAGGACCTGAAAGATTACTTCTCAAAGTTCGGGGAGGTCGTGGACTGCACCCTGAAGCTGGACCCCATGACAGGGCGCTCGAGAGGTTTCGGCTTTGTGCTGTTCAAAGAACCAGAGAGTGTTGATAAGGTACAGCCCTGTGTTTACATTCAGGCTCTAATAGAAAAGCGAGGATGCTTTCAAAGATACGACACACACGTGTTTTTATGAGTTAGTTTACATATTACAAAGTGCAGTCAAAAAACAACAATCTCACAGTTGTCAGTGTTGATCTGCTTGCCACAGTTCTGATGGGTTGGTCCAGCTCAGTGTCTCCTGATGTGTACCTGACTGACTCCAGTGATGCTGAGATCAGGGCTGGTCTGTGGGTTCCACACCATCTGCTTCCTGTTCTTCTTTTCAGCTTTTCAGCTTCAGATGCAAATGTCCAAGTGAGCGGCAACAGAGTTCCTCCTGCCAGCTCCCTGGGGAATATCTGAATGAGCTCAGCAAAAGACCTGCGCTGTAAACAAAAACATGTGAAATCCACGGTGGAATAAATATGTTACATCTTGTTCTCCGCCTGCGGTGCCACCTCTCACCTCAGTGCATTGTTCATATGTGAAAGGGGAAGTCCGAACCCAATTGTGCCAACATTCTTCAAGTCTGGTTTATGACTATGGCTCATGCTGGAGCAGAATACATTTGTAAACAAAGGCACTTTACATCACGACGCAAACAGTACTCCGTTGCAGTGGAACTGCTAAGCATTCAATATTATTTGTATAGCGCCAAATCATAACATACATTATGGCAAGGCAGTTTACATAAGGCGGTTTACATAAGGTCGAGACCTTCTGAGATGAATCATCTGTATCATTTGACCTCAGAGATCATTTTAAAACAATAACTATTGTCCTGAAAGTATTTCCAGAATCCTTAATAACCTGTGTCTCAAGCTGTGACCGTGTTTCCTCATCCAAGTAACCTTAAGTAACACGCATCTTTTTGGTTTTGCTAAACTAAAGCAAATATCAACAGTAGTTTTGATATAAATAAAAAACATTGGAAAGAAACAGCAGGATATACCAGTGAACCTGATAATAATATCTGCTATGAGCGTAATACGTATTTTTTTTTCTGCCATCTTTGTTTTAGATTAAGAAATACAGTCGCAGGTTGGGTACCGGTCTGAATTTATTTTAGAACAATCAAATGCTGAGCTCTCATTTGAACGTAACAGTAAGACACGAGACACAAAATGAGGCACAACCTTTGCCGCCATCTCTGATTTGTTCAGCAATTCAAATTGTGAATTTGCGACATTTGCGTTCTCACGTAGGAGAAGGTCCAGAGTTCAGTGCATGTCTGAAAGACTGTGATTCCCATTGCTTTACAATTTTCTAACATTGAATTTAAAGAAATAATTTTAAAAAACGAATGAGCAGATTTAATTTATCATTCATCAATTGGGCTCAGATGACCTTAATATAATCCATCACGTATGAGAAGTTAGGAATAACACCTAAAAACAGTTTTTGTGTCATTTGATTCTTTTGTTGTGAAGGTCGTCTCACAGAAGGAACATAAACTCAACGGGAAAGTCATCGACCCCAAAAAAGCCAAGGCCATGAAGAGCAAAGAGCCTGTGAAGAAGATCTTTGTCGGCGGCCTCTCTCCGGACACTCCTGAAGAGAAAGTCAGAGAGTACTTTGATGCCTTCGGAGAGGTGCTTGTCTTTTTACATTTACAGTTTTAGTTTATAGCTGTTGCTGTGACTCATGAGGATTATATTATTTTATCCATTATCTCAATATGTTTTTATTGGGTCTGCATAACTCCTGACTTGTTTATACATTTATCAAAGCCACAGTGAATCGCAAATGACCTTCTAATTGCCTCCCTTTGTAAACACAAACTACTGAATATTATTTTTATACACTTAATGGTAATATAAAGGTGGAGTCAATTGAACTTCCCATGGAGAACAAAACAAACAAAAGGAGAGGCTTCTGCTTCATCACGTTCAAAGAGGAGGAACCGGTTAAGTTGATCATGGAGAAAAAGTACCACAACATTGGATTAAGTAAGGTACAGGCCCCTATTTCTCTCAGTTTAACAAATTAATTTTGCGATTTTTACACCAAACCCTTGATCCCTTGTCACATGTATATGTAAATGAATTGTTTTTTTATTCTAGTGTGAGATAAAGGTGGCGATGTCTAAAGAGCAGTACCAGCAGCAGCAGTACTGGGGAGGCAGAGGTGGATACTCCTCCAGGTCGCGAGGAAGAGGTGGTGGTGAGTGGAGAATACATGCAGTGTGTTACGTGTAAGGACAAAACGTACACCACATCCAACAGTGAATGCTCCCAAACAAAACTATATAATAAATACACTTGGTGTCTGCTAATTTCCCCTTTGCGGGACGAATAAAGGATTGTTTTATCTATAAAAGACGTTATTGTCTTTCATGGGGACGTTACCATGACCAGTGAACTTTGTGTTTGTGCTTCAGCAGAGTGGAGACTCGTCTAGAGGAAAGTTCATCTGACTGCAGCTTGTTGAATAAGAGAGAGTTCCACTTCTTACTCATCAATTAAATACTTTGAGCTTATTTACTTCTCATATTTAAATTAGGAGCGCACTTATTTGGATCGGGTAGTTTTTGGAAAAATCAGTGTCATCATTAACCAAAACAAACAACATTTTCAAGCTGGAACTATCGGTTTTGTGAATTAATCAGGCTGGCTTCATTAGTGCAAATGACAATGATCCATCCGTCTGTCCATCTTCTGTCGCTTATCTGGGGTCAGGTCACGTATTAGCAGGTGAAGCAGAGGAGTCCAGACATCCCAAAGGTGTTCCCAGGTCAGAAAAGATATATTATCTCTCCCATCATTCTCTGGGCGTACCCTGGTCCTTCCCACCAGTTAGTTGCTTGAGACATCTCCACTTAAAGTAGCCCTGGAGGCGTTCTCAGCAGATCAGTAAACAGCAGATCGGTAAACATCTCAACTGACTCCTTTCAAAAGAGCATCAAGTCTACTCTGAGTCCTTTTAGCCTTGGGAAGAAACTCATTGCAGGCGTTTGTATCTGAGATCTCGTGACAATTGGTATGATGTACTTATAAGATGTACACTAAAATGTACTTCTTGTAAGTCGCTTTGGACAAAAGCATCTGCTAAATGCCCTAAATGTAAAATGTAAGATCACAGGAGTCTGGTACAATGCCTGCTTTACTGAGAATTAATGTAATAAATGAGTTACTTCCTAATGATCACAGCTCAGCTTAATGCGAATCAAGAAGGATTCAGAATTGATCAAATGGAACCAACCCTAGCAACACTGCAACTTAATCACAGGTTTTTGTACAAGGGGTAAATGCAAGCTTCAGTGAAATGTGTCATTAATTCTATTTAATTCTATTTAATCAGGTCCCAATCAAAACTGGAACCAGGGTTATGGCAACTACTGGAATCAAGGCTATGGAAATTATGGCAACTACGGTTACGGTAATCAAGGGTATGGAGGATATGGTGGATGTGATTACTCTGGTTACAACAACTACTATGGATATGGTGACTACGACAGTGAGTAGACGAGCCTGCGGCGCCACCTGATCAGCCTCACTTTCATGTCAGCTTTCCCATTTATCTTCCGTCACTTTTGAAATGTCTAAAATGCAGTTGTTCTGCAGATCAATCTGGTGGATATGGCAAGTCGCCACGGCGCGTCGGTCACACCAACAGTTACAAGCCATATTAGTGGGGAAACCCCTCATCGTCAAGTAGGTATGCAACAACAAAGATATACCATTTCATTTAATTTTAAAGTAGTTATATTTACTTTGCTGTTTGGTAACATTATGAATAATTTGCTCTTATAAATTTCTTTTTCTCAGCACCCTCAAGTGCTTTACAGTAGTGGTAACATAGAGGCTACACTCTGTGGCGATTATTTTATCAGCCGGCCTTCTGCTGCCTCTTTTGCACCTTCGTTCTTTTTTTTTAAACTGTAAAGTTAACAGGTAAAGTACTGCTACTACAGTAAATGGATGCCAAAGTTAAGGATGTGCAAGGAAACAAAAGGAAGAATGTTGTCTCCTAACTCTGACATACCTTGTTTGTACCTGCCAGCGGAGCTTCCTTGCAGGCCATGAGCTGACTCCCAGATACTCTCAGGGCCCGCTCAATGCGGACTGGGTACGAGAAGCATACGCTCTCGATTGCTGCCATTTGGTATGGTCTTACAACATCCTGTATCAGCATTTCTAAACTAAACAATATGGGACACGTCCAGCTTTGTCATCTTTCTTTCCATTTTTAATTTCTTTGCAACTGTATGTAATGTAAAAGTTAAAATATACACATGTAATTGTCATTTTTTACAGGCCCTTACTCCCCCACAAGTAATGATTTATAAATATGAAAAAAATAACTATTTGCTTTTCAAAGGATACGTACAGCATTCTCTGGACTTTCCAGTTCCTATTGTTAATATATGCATTTCTAATCTTTATCTAAAATGCTTGTTTCTTTATTTAGCTCTTGTAGCCTGTAGTCCATGAGCTAAATCCTGGTTCGTATTTGGACTCTTCTGTGTTGGGGGATAAAGTGCTTTACTTTGTGTACATGTATTGTTCTGTTTTTTTTTTTTACTGACAGCGATGGAAAAGACTCCTCTTTTCTCAATTTTCCTGTAACAAATTTTCCTCTTATAAGCTTTTGTAAAATGAGAAGAAGCACTAAGTGTCACTACATCTCCAGTAATTTGCATGTAATGCTGTCTTTAATGTGTATTTTTGACCAGTCGAAGGTTTCTTCCATTTAGTACTTTTGGCTTTGACTTCTTCAATTTATTGCACTTCAGGATTTCTAGCTTATGGACTAACTTTTTTTTAAACTGTAAAATGTTAAAATAATTGTTCTCAGTTTGTTTTTTCTTATTGTTTTTTTTTTACACTGGACTTTATAAACAAGGGGGATTCCTACTTTATTGTAATTTGACCTGTCTCTTGTTTGTCTATGGCTGATTTGTTTCTGTTTGTTTTCCATAGGTCTCAGAGTGATGAAAGTCTGCAGTGCACTGGCGGAGCATTGGCCAAAGAGATGATGGTATCCAGCAAAGGTCACTTAGCTGATTGTAAGAAAGTAAATGAAGAACACTATGACCTACATTACATTTCCTCTATATATTTACCAGAGTATTTGTTGTATCTTAAAAGTTTTGGATTTTCATGTTTTGCATTCATTTAGTTTGCTGCAAAGTTTGAGCAGTTCCTCGTTCCTTTTTGCTTTTGTATTTAATGTTGTCAATTGCTATTTGTGAATTGCTTGATTTATCCCATAACTGAAACTTTAGATTGGTCGGAGCAGATCACACATATATTCACATACAGTGGCAGCAGAGATGCATTGTTATGCTATTATGTTATGTTTATCATAGGCATCAGTTATATAATACATTTATTACAGTTTGACAGTCATAAACATACAGTATATATATATACACAGTGTCTTGGACAAAAAGAAATGTGAAAAATAAAAATAATAAACACTTATTTGGATTTATGGTCCTGTGTGAATTACTAATATGGCTCATATGTTAAGGACTTGGAGTGTTAAAGGAAATATTTCAGCAAACTTCATTACAATTTGAACTCTGTTAGTCTGAATTTAATCTTTACATCTGAAGATTTTGCAGAGATACACTTTGATCATTATATAAAACGCGTCCTTGTTTGAGCTGAGACGATCACTATTGAGAAAACAAATTCAAAATTACTCAATAAATGTCGGCTGTATAAGTGAACTTTAGCCACTAACGTCATTGTTTTCAGTCCTGAGCCTGTAAAGATTTATATAACCTTAGTGGCAAAGAGGATGATGAGGATAATTATGATCAGCACAATGACGCCGATTATAATCATCAGTTTAATGTTTTTCCACCAGTATTTCCTGGCCACACGTGTGGATGTTCTCTGGAATGAGTCGGCCTGGAAAGAGAAAAAAACAAATGTAGTAAAATACTTGTGGTTGCGAAAGTTCTCAAGTCTTCACGAAAACAAGAACTAATACGATTTCACCAATGAGTCTGTTTACTAGTGTACTACTACAAAAGATAAGTAGTATAATGACGATGGGAAAAGATGATGCATCTGCAGAATACATTTTGGGCTTTTTGGTTTTTAGCTGTTTGTTATGCGTCCAACAAATTTACAGGACCAGAGTTCTAATTCGTTTTTTATGAACGGGAATGCTTGTTCGTAAAAAACGAATTAGAACTGCAAAGTCATGGTTTCCTTGATTCCCCAAAACATATAATAGAGCGTGGATAAACTTTATAACCTCCACCAAGGAGGTTTCACCCTCGTGCTCATTAGTTTGTTGGTTTGTAAGCAAGATTTGTTTTACTTATCAGTCTCAGCTGTACACTTTGTTTGACAGTAGTGGAGAACATATAGAGAATAATAAAAATAGAGAAGTGGAGAAAGTACAAATTTACAATGCAAAAATACACGGTACCATAATAAAACATATAAAATATGATTTCAGTCCAATTACAGATGTTTTTGCAATAAAACCTACTTGAAGAATCAAAGGTAAAAGTACTCATACATATATACTTGTGTGTGTGTGTGTGTGTGTGTAGAATTAGTATCTAATATTTAGTGCACAAATATATACATGCATAAAATACTCTTCTATTGCAGTAACAGATGAATGCTTTAGATCAACGTTGTACAGTTGTAGCTGCTTGAGGTGGAGCCGGTTTGAACTACTTTACTTTGGTAGTTTGTGTGTCTGGTTCCCAGCTCGAGGTTTTGTTAAGCTCTGCTTCACGTTCGTCTTCCTTTTTTAGACTCTAACTCATCTTTTCATCTTAACCTCTTCATGAAATGAAAACCTCTCTCTCTTTCATTAACTCGGACATCAGGACCATAAGGGACCCCAACTAGACAAGGTTGAAAACCACTGATTCAATCTCAAACAACGTTTGGTATTTTAGAGGTTTACCACGTGTAAATATAGAATCTTAATCCAAAAAGTGACTTCTCATTAGACCTGTCAGCTCTTTTAAAGGAGTCACCCCACCTCCACAGACAGAAGCACAGCGAGCTCATCATGCATGATGGAATACTTACGGACGCCTGCAGGCCGTCAGTCTTCCCGATCAGATCATCTAATCTGTCCCCCCTCTCCAGCACTTTGTTGATGTTGTCTTTCAGGATAACTTTAACCTCGTTCACCTGACCTTGCACTTGGTCGAGCTTGGCAGTCGAGCCAGTGGCCGCTGACTGAGAGTCCGTGTCAGCCTGTGAAAAAGTGGAGTAAGGGTCCGTTTCAGTTCCATGAGTCACTATCTCCAAAACATTTACAACCAGGCAAACTCCAGTCGCAGTCTGCCAGCCAAATGTAAACTGTTATCACAATTCTTCATGACCAAACCTCACTTCCTATATTTGTGTTAACAGGAAACAGCGCAGTCAGTTTAACGAGGCCTGTGTCACATGAGAACCTTCAGCACTGTTCTAACACAGTAAACCAAGTTAATAATAATGTCATATACACCTATACAGAATTATTTCACATGATATCAAGACTGAATCTGTTTGAGAACAATATGTAACATGGAAAGCAAAAAAAATTATTTCAACACTCACCATCGCAGCTTTGTGTCTTAGTCCCAACAAACAAAACAATTCAGCTTCACACACTGAAACCACACTGTCCACGAAGCCCTGTTCTCCTCTGCTTCCTGTGCTTCTTGTGACCGAGTCATAAGAGCTAAACAAATGTCTGCTGAAGGTTGCACCTCTGCCCTGTTACACATTAACTACCTGTTGCCTCAATCAAAGTCTCATTGGCTCAGACAGAGACAGTCAGATCAGGAACATGCACTACGCTCATTTCCTGCTTTTCGCCATCTATTTTACATATACATCCAACAGGAACAGAAATATCACCTGCACTCGACACACTCCAAGTTAAAACTTCCCTGTTTTGAGTGATTTACATACCATGAGCGGTCAGAGCAGTGGATGCAGGCCAGCGTTCAACTGATATGTCTGAGCAAAGGGCTCTGTGTTTTCAACTGAGGGATATCTACGAAGCAGTAAAGTGAAGGAGCCAAGTTGCCTCATTTCCTGATTCTGTGTTGGCAGTTTGTTACCTCAGCAGTTTGTGGCCAGCCGCGGTCTTAGAGTTTAATCTGTGTTCTTTTAAAGCAAGCGATAAAAACAGTAACAAACTTTACTTATAAGGCACTTGTAAAAAAAACACAGATATAAAAAATGAAAATACATGCAGAGCAATAAAAAGAGTTAATGCAGGAGACAATGGATAAAATAACGCAATAAAACAAGCAAAAATTAAAACCCCATTTTATGAGAATGTTTTTTTAATAGAGCATTAAAAGAGGATACCGTGGTGACAACAGATGAGCTGAGCTTACAGCTTCAGCCTTCGGTTTTAAAAACCCTTGAGCATCAGCGTCACCTTTTAAAAAATGTCCTTGCTCGCGTATAAAGCTGTGATGCTGCAGAAAAATAAATAAGTCACACCACCCACCAGCAGTCTGTCAACTGTGCTAATAAAACTGACAGTATCCACATCATTTACTGAAGCACAAGTAGCAACACTATAACTGAATACTTGTCATGAGACTATAATGAGTCATTTTGATGTGAATGTAAAATATTACAGTTGTAACATTCAACAAATGATATTTCAAATAATATTGGATGTGTAAAATACGCATTTGAAACATATATATATGTATATGTATGTTACAGTATTGCATTACTACTGTTAGTTGAATATAGGGAATGAATGCTTCCTCCACCACTGTGCATTATTTTCTTTTTTGTAGGTCCTAACCTGCATCAATATATCGCTGCCGCTAGGTGGCGTTAGAGGTCAAGGGTACGCAACAGTTTGTAAGAGGCAGGAAAAAGATTTCAAAAAGATGAATGAAGGTCGAGCTCTGTCTCTGCGTGTGAATCCGAGCAGCTGCAGAGAGAAGCAGCAGGAGAAGGGTGAGTCTGCGGATCACCTCCATGTGCACACTCTGCATTTTCCAGCTGAGGACGAGGAAGGTAAACAAAGGGCAAAGGTTTGGACCAATCACACACGGAGAGACAGAGGGGGCCCGCATGTGACAGGGCTGCTGATTGGCTGAGGCGGCGGAGAGGAACCAGACGGTGTGGGAGCTGCAGCCTCCCTCGGGAAAGTTTCAACCACTTCTTTAATGAAACTCGGAGCCTTTGACCCACAGACCTGGGAACACGCAGCCTCACCTCTCATGCTGGGATTTCCTCCTCACCGCGTCGGGCTGGAAGCTACTGTCTAACGAAGCGATCTGGGATCTGCTGCAGGATCCGGCAGCCAGAGGAGGGGAAGAAGAAGAAGTCAGGGTGTGTCTTGTGCGGAGATAAAAACAAACGCATATCTTTTATGGTGGTGTGAGGCTGATTGAGTTGTTTGTTCGGAGAGAGGACACACAGAGAAAGTTGGCAGCACCATGCAGGGGAATGGAGGAGTGTACGCAGTGAAGAGGAGGAGGAAGCCCGTCCAGAAAAAGTAACTCTCAACTCTTTAAAAACCTTTTCTCCTTTATGATACACTGTCACTTTTTTATTGTTTGTGTGCTGAGCTTCTCATAAACAGCCTGTGGTGCAGAGGGAACTTTGTGCTCATCCCACCTGGTTTGTCTGCAGTGAACACTTTATAGCCATTGTTTATGATATGATGAAACTGAATTTCTTTCATTATTCTCCACGTGTGTGATTTAAATATAAGTTTGAATTATTAACTGAACTCGTAGTATTATTTTTTTTTCATAAATTGCTTGTCGGCTATTTCTGCTTTTAAGCCAGCAACACAATATTCACTCCCAAGTTCACAAAAATACAATCTCAGTTTATTAAACTTAATCTTAACCTAATTTGTAGTTTATCTGAGGACGTTGAATAATCTCCATAATCTGAAGGCATACTTCCCCACCCCCACTGGCTGCTGCAGAGCCCTGGTCGCCTGTTTATTATGTTTTTATTCACATTGAATGTATCACATGTTCGAACTGCATCATATTCAGCTTCTTTGTGCGATTAACAGCACTTCTGCCAAGTGTGAAGCTAATAACATGAATAGTTTTTGAGATATACATGCGTTCCATTTACGGGCAGACTGATATTTGTGGAATTAACAGGTAACTCATATAATATAATGGTTTCCCAACAATCTTGAACTGCCTTGGCTGGATCAGTCCTCAACACAATCAATCAATTACCATAGTGATAATGATCAATGTGTAATCACAACTATTACTAGTGATTCCACCAATACTTTGACGGACACCCCGTGTTTGCACCAACACGTGCGTCACTTGGGTTGTAGTTGTTAGGTTTGTGTTTATCTTTACTTTTATAGAAGTGCGTGTGCTGAGGTGATGATGGAGGTCGTTATCATAGCTGTGCAACGAGTTTTTCCATTTGATGTAACCTTTGGCTAGTTTTGGAGGGAACAGCTTCAGTTGCTCGGCAGAATCAGATTATTGATTCGTACAAAATATAACTGACCAATGAACTTTAGATGAAGGTACTCTGCAGCATTTCAAGTTTTTTATACATTTTTCCAAAATATAAAAATGTATTTCCTCCTATTTTTCTAGGCTACTTTTACTGAAATAAAGTTTTAAAGATGGAGAACGTTCACATACAACAGAGCATTTCTACAAGGTGGTCTTACTGTTGCTACTGATGGTGCCTGTGGAGGTCATTATTCTCTGTAGGGTCACAGACATCAGAACAGCGAGTGGTGGAAGAGGCAGTTTCTACTTTATTTTCTCAACCTATCAAAGGAGAGTAAGAAGATTTGCTCCTATTATAATGTTTATATCATTCTAATAGTATTAATTAGATTTGGACTATTATACAAAACTAAACATCATCGTGGATCTTATGATGGACTTTTTCACATTTTTCTAAACCTTTCCTCAACTAATTAATTAATTGATTAGTCAGTAGATGCACACAAAACTTGAAAGAGCAGATCATTTGGTGCTTTCACAGTTACCTGACGTCACAATTCTTCTCTCACGAAACCCAAAATATCAAAAGTTACCACTTCCACTACTGGATTAACATGGTTATTGTGTCATGAAAAGAACAATCCAAGTGCTGCTCCGGGAAATGAAATGAGTAACAGCAATGGATGGATGGACATATTTCCATATCCCTCTGCTTTGACTGTTTACAAGTCTCTGTTGCTGCTCTGTAATGGTAACTGGTCTGTATTTATATAGCGCCTTTCTACTCAAAACGCTGTGTAGTACAGTTTTGCCTTTCCACCATTCACACACTTTCATACCGTGCATCTATTTGCAGCATTTATTTCTCTATCACGCATCAATCCCACACTAGCGGCAATCTGCAAACGTAACCTGACTCACTTCACGCGTCAGGGCAGTGATCACAATGATCTCTGGCCGAAGGTTTGATTAAAGATTTGAGATTAAATTCACCCAAAAAAAACCAAATCCAAGATTTGCATATTGATTACTACTGCAAGTTGATTATCAATCAAAAATGCCAAACTCTGCTGAACATTTGATGGTCTAAGCTTTTCAGATGTTAGACTCCCTATTCCCCTTTTCAGGCAAATTATACAATTTTGAACAACATCTCAATTATTTCATTAAGGTTTTTTAGATGACTTCCAAACATGTCTTCAGATGTGTGAACAACCCAAAGAGATTCAGTTTACTATCACGTATGACCAAGAAAAGCATCGAGTCATGTAGGCCCCGTACACACCGGGTATTAACATGTGGCTTTTGTGATCCGATCACAACTGGACAGCTCTGAGTGTGTGCGTTCACACCTGGCATTAAAATGTGACCCTACGTGCGTTTCGTGATCGGATCTCACCTATCTCACCCCGCTCTATACAAACAAACATGTACATCATTTCTGTTCATGTTTTTTCCCAGTCTGAGGACACAAGTGCGTCACAGATACTGCATGTGTGAGTTTGTCAGCACGAGCGTGCGAAGAAAAGTAGAGGGCAAGTCAGGAGAGGCTGAAAGAGTCTCGTGCATTTGTGAAGAAAGATTTGATCAATTCAAGGAAAATACGATCATTATGTGGTGATCAGGGTTGATATTGTCTCAGTTGTCACAAACAAATCCACGAAAGAAGAGAGAAAATCTGCAGCGGATCAGTAGGAGGTCCTTCATATGTGGCCCTGGACGGATTCACGTTCACACTGCTAAAAGAATGTGTACACTCCGAATGTGGTGTGATCAGATCGCTATCCGATCTGAGTGCGTTCACACCCGAGTGCGTTCACACCTGTACTTAGAGCTGTCCACTTGTGGTCGTAAGCAGCAAATATTTGACATTTTTATTCAAGAAAATGACAAAAACATTGATTTTATTATCAATTTGTGGATGTCCTCATTGATTAATATGATAATTGTTGCAATTAACTTCCATCATAGTCAAGGAAAACCAGAAAAACTTCACATTGCAATAAACTGGTACTTTTGGCGAGAATCAGAGAATCAGTAATTAATCAGTTTTTAGAATAATTGCATATAAATCTTCTCTCAGATCACTTCATAAGTCAGTCATCTGTCAGTGTCTAGTTCCCTAATAATCTGTTTCATTCAGAAATGACTTTTAAGTTTCAAAAAAATGAATCCAATGCAATTGCTGCGATCACACTGGGATTTTGAACGTTTCATCTCTTCATTCCCTGCTCCTTTGTCCTCGCCTCTCCCCTCTGTCTCCTGTGTCAGATCATTGTGTATTGTCAGGGAGGGATGGCACACAGGACGGCATGTGCTGACATGTTGCGGAGGAATAGCTGTGTGATGATCTGTGGTAAAATGTGGCCAAGATCATCAGACTTTTGAAATAAATATAGTCAGGGTGTGTCTTGTATTTATTTATTTATGTATAGACAGATATATCTCGACAACAATATACACACAGACGTTCCTGTCCCCCAGAGGATGAATCCTATCCCCCTGACTCCTCCATTAACTCTGACATTTGGGGTTTTGACTGAAATGTCACAGCAATGATTGGCTGAATTGCCTTGACATTTGAGGCACACATTCATGCCCCCCCCCCCCCCCCCAGTATTACAGTGTTTCCTGAGAGCCCCTGACCTCATCACACCCCACCCAAGTAACATTTAATAATAAATTATCAGCAAATTGTCCTTAAACATAAATTCTGCAGAAACAATATCCCCTGCAACTTCCATTATTTGTATGACATTATTAGATAATTAACACTGATGCAGTCAGATCTTGAGCAATATTTTACTGTTGTACATGTACTGCTTTTCTGTTGTTTTAACTACTACTACTGTATACAGTTAGCTATGAAAGTATAAATCAATTAATAAATACAGTTTGCAATGATAATGGCTTTTTCTGTATTTCTAGATTTATTTATTTGTTTATTTCTACATTAATTCATTTATTTATTATTTTCTACATTTATTTATTAATTTACTAATTCCTACATTTATTTATTTCTACATTTATGTATTTATTTATGGCATTTCTTCATTTAATTATTTATTTTCACATGTATTTATTTATTTTTCTATTACATGTAGTACTTTTTTGATTTCCACATATTTTCAGTTATTTCTACATTAATTTATTTCAGTACTTTTACATTTATATGTTTATTCATTTCTACATTAATTCATTTAATTCTGCATTTATTTATATATGTATTTCTGTGTCCATATGTTAATTAGGTAGGCAGGTTTAACTCAGTCTAAAGCTGGATGGGTTATAGTGGTGTGGTCAGTGTGTGCGTGTGTGCGTGCGTGCGTGCGTGCGTGCGTGTGTGGTCCCTGGTCTTGTAATAATAAAAAGTGCTTCCAGCCTGTACTGGCTCTCCAAAGCAGAATGTTGAAGCTTTGTTTGATGTGGTTTAATTGAGACATTGTGTCTCGGAAATACAACACTTCAATTTTTTCTCTTCATGAACGGGAACAGTCAGTATGACAAGTCTCCCACATCCACTCATGCAGAAGTTCAGGGGTTCGAATTGAACTTGTTACAGGAGATGAAAAATGTACCTTGAACCCAAAACACGCACAATTCCCTGTGTTTTGTATTGTTATTGTCTAGCATAGCAGACATGTCTTAACAGGCAGTGCCACTCAACATTAACTTCTGTCTTGTTGCAGTGTGAAAACTCCACCGGTGAAGACCAATCCGTCCAAACGCCACAGGGACCGTCTGAATATCGAGCTGGACCGACTGACCGGCCTGCTGCCTTTCACCGAGGAGGTCAGAGGTCGCCTGGACAAACTGTCGGTGCTCCGGCTCAGTGTGGGATACCTCAAGGTTCAGAGATACTTTCACGGTCAGAGACATGAACGTCTTTGTTTTGAACGCACACCCACATAGCTGTAGTAACATAAACACAGAAAAGGTCAAATGAAACTTGAATGTGTGTGTGTGTGTGTGTGGGAAGTGTCTAAACATGGTGCTCCAGACATTTCTGTGGCTGAGCTCTGAGTGTTGGGGCGTCAGAGCAGGAACTCGACACTGTGAATAATGAGTGGTATCCCTGCTGGGAGGGAAACAGGAGAGTGTGCGGCAGGGCAGATGGAACATGAGACAGGCCGGGTGGAACAGTAGGTCCTTATTCTGACGCAGAATAAATACACACCCACTCAAAGGTGGCATTTGGTTGCCTGTGTTGTCAGTGCCCAGAGTATACATCTACATGCAGGTACAGTCTATTAAAAGTCTGGGCAAGCCTTGTGAAAGCTGCATGGTTAGATTTTTCAAGTCAAAAGAAATACACATAATCCCAGTAGCAACAGATTTAACACTACATCCACTTAACTTTAATTTGAAAATGCATCAACTCTCTCAACAAAAAATTAAAAGAAACTAAGGCAATGGTGGTGTGGCTCCATATTTGACGGCAGACGCCTGGAAGCCTTCCCTGTGTCTTTGTGCCTCTGTGGTTCTGCTATCAACCACTTGATCACTGCTGTTGATGGAGAAGAAGGGGGCTGCAGAGGGAGGAGGGAGCGAAGCTCTGAAGCACAGTGGCACGACATGAGGGCTCCTGACAAGGCTGTGCAGATGGGAATGTTGGTGAATGGAGACATCTGTACAACCTACACACTCAGCACCGCTGCATCGCAGTATTTTGAATGTGTCACAAACCGACCGACGCTTGTATAAGGTGTGACCAGAAATGGAAAAAGTGAGTGGATGTTAAGAAGAAGAAGAGATGTAGTTGTGAAATTGACGAAGTGAGGCTGCTTGAGCGCCTATCAGATGAAGACTGTGTCTACACCAGCACATTCTGCAGTCCTACATCGTTCTGTGAACGCTTTATCTCTTGACTTTGATGTCCGTCAGACCAACATTACACACTAGCTGTTGTCATGCATCCCTGTTGCCCTATGTAATGTGACCTGACTTAACCCCTCCTGTGAAACAAACGTGGGTTGTGTGATGGGTTTAAAGGGCTTTGAATTGACAACTTCTGCTCTTTTTGCTCAACAGTCTTTGGTGCAGAGTGAAGTTAGAAAACGTTGTGTTCATCCTACCTGGATTATCTGCAATGAAGATATTATAATTTTCTATAAATATGAAAAAAAAAGTTCATGTGTGTGGTTTATATGTAGGTTTGACGAGAGGACTGAATGATGTGTTTAGCAACCGACACAATTTTTAGACCAAAGTTAACAACTTTTTCAAAATAAAATTCAGCTCGATATGAAGCTTTGCAGCAAAAAAGTTGTGCTTTTACTTTGAAGTCAAATTGCCAAACAAGAAGTGATTTTATGAATGTTGGTGCCATGACGGAGATCAGCAGCAACCGTCACAGGACGGTCCGTCTGTGTCTGTCAGTTGGTAGATTAAACCAATGTTGGGCCAACGACCAACCACTATCACCAGTGTTGCTTAAAACGTCGATTGTGGAATGTCGATTACGTGTTCTTCCGGATGAAAGCCTTGCACTTTTCATTGTCTTTAGAGAGAAGACCTCTCTGTGGCCGCCTGGATTTCTGCTGCTTCTCCGGCTAATCTCCCACAGCAGTTTCCTCTGATGGCGGAGGGTGTTTGTTCAGGGCTGAATGATGCTTAAAGCCTTTTATGCCTGATGCTGAACACAACAAACACTTTCATACAGTACTCACACAATCATCGATGTCTTCTTTTGAATTGATAACTGAATTGTGTTGTGTTAGGAAATGGAACAAAAACATAATATGCGCACTAGATCTGCACCACTGACTTCATGTGTACACACAAACTGAAGCAGTGTCAACAAACTCCTCATCACACGCCTTGTTTCCTGCTCTCTATCAGTCCCAGGAGATGCTGCGGCTGCACCGAAAGGTTTGGTGGTTACCATAGTGATGTTTTGTCACCATAGCAGCGCAGTCTAAACAGCTCAGGATGTCTGACACCAGCAGGTTTGCCTTGTGTGGCTTTCGAGCTGAGTATTCAGGTCTGCTTCCTGTGTTTGTTGATAACGAGGGGTGAGAGAGGTTGTGGAGAGGTCAGTGCCGCCATTAACTCAACCTCCGTCTGATTTTTTCCTGAAAGATAAATCTGTGTCTCCTCCTCCTGAATACAGCAGTCTTTTGTCATAGATTAAAATACCCGGCAGTATATACAGTTTAAGCAGAGTGGAATATGTATATGTGTTTACACATGTACATGCACTCACTCTGCTGCCCAAACTTTCCTTGGGGACCCTCACAGAGACCACACACCTCAGAGCTCACTGCAAATGACTGATGTTCATGTTCACTGTTACACTGACTGAACATCCATTTTCTAGACTGCAGTAGTGTCACACAAGAAAAAACAGCCTCATCTCTGGACTTCTCCAGAGATTAGTGTCAAGATCCTGGAGATAGACAAAGAAAAGGTTTTATTTGACTGACCCAGTTTTTAATGGTCTAATGGTCAAAAAATAAACATTTTAAACCTGACTGTTGGTCGGACAAGAAGAAAACATTTGAAAATGTCACCTTAGACTTTTCCAACATGTTATAAACTGATTGATTAATTGACTAATTCAAATACTAGTAAATGTGGCAGAAGTTGAATGATTAGCATGTTAACATTGTCATTGTGAGAAAATGTTGGCTGGGTGTTTCAGTGTGTGCAGGGGAAACATTAGGTTTTGCTAAACAGCGACATAAGGTGTCATCAATGTGGATTTAGGATCATTGTATCGGCTGGAATCACAACAATTAAATGATTAAGGACTTTATCGCTGCAGCGGAAGCTTTAAGCTTTAAAAGCACATTTAGCATTGAGCAAAGATAAAATCACTATTTCATTTCAATAGTCTAGCAGCAGAGAAGAGATGCAGATGTTTTAATGTTCAGGAGTTGTCACTGAGGACAGACTCAGTTTAAACCATTTAATGGCCTTTCAGTCCGATCTGTTTAGTCTTTCACATCTAATTCACGTGTTGCATATTGTGTGTAGTCCTCGGTGTCACTCTGATCTTAATGCCCGGAGACATTTTAAAGTATTACACCAATTTGAGCGGATCCCCTGAGTTGGTCACAGTTCACGCAATAATTACAAACCCAGGAATTCTTCAGTCAGTCGTCTGGGTTTGTAGAAAGCTGCTCTTGACCGAGATGTCAGGCCAAATTCCTGGGTTTGTTGAGTTGAGACGAGACGCAGATCCAGTGGGTTTGTTTTAAAAAGGGGAGGGGAGAGGGGAGGGGAGAGGGGAGGAGAGGGGAGGAGGTGGGAGGCGATGAGAGTTTGTTAGCGTGCCACAGAGTCATTACTGTAAGGAAAGGAAAGGAGGATTTGCTTAGCTGACTGAATGCCAGTGATCACAGATTAGATTATACAGGAGTTTGCTAAAGCTTAAAAAACACTTGTTTTTAACACAAAGGAAAAACGCTCTTCTGTCCAGTTTGATCGAAATAAAACCGACTGGTGTTTATTGTTATTTCTGTAGACTGCTGCAGGTTCGTGGTTTTACTGGTGAGCGGATTGTGAAATGTTTTTATCCCTTCACAGCTACATTGATGCTGTGCAGATGTTTATCCATGAAAAAAGCACAAGCGTCACTGACACTTTGTCTGTTTCACAAATAAACCAGCAGGGATGTAACAAGTATTGGATACCCAACAGTGTTTTGCTTTTCTTCACTCTAGCTGCTTTCATGCACTGAACTACGGAGAACCTCCTGAAATTCAGTGGAGGGGCTGTACGTGTGAATATGTTCGCGCGAATGAAATGAAATAGAAAACAAATATCAGTGTGAGAAAACAGAGGAGACACAGATGAAGATGCCAAGAGGGGTTTTGGTGATGAGGGCCGATGCCAGTGTTGATGAGCTGTGAGCAAAAATATGTGATGTGTGCAGTAGAGATAATACGTTACTTTCTGTCTGCTGCGCCGCCCCTCACCTGAACGCTCTGGAGATGTGTCGCTGTGAATGCGTCTGAGCAAATGTATTGTTCATTTGTGAAACAATCGTTGGAGAAGGTCCAGACCCAAAGCTGCGGACATCCTCCGGGGCTCATGTCTGACAACAGCCTCTGAATTGACTATAATTATACTCATCACCCCCCCCCCCCCCCCCACATCTTTAGCTCTTTTTTTATCTCCTCCAATCCCAGAGGAAAATATCTGACTCTTAGCAGCTGAATGTCTCAAACTGAGTGTGAAACTCTAACGTCTTGCTGTGTATAGTGGACAGCTGCCTGCTCCGTCTCAAAAAAAAAAAGCTATAGCCATGCAAAACAGGGAAGTTGCTGTAAAACCAAATCAGTGAGCTGATAGTGCCTCAAAGGGATGAGCACATCTGCTGTCAGGTGATCATTCTTAGCAGGTTCATCCCAACGTTTGTCATCTTTCACATCACATGCAGTCATTTGATCCGAGAACATAACAATGTTTCCAGTATATCGTGGAAACAAACCATATAAAAACTTCTTTAAGGAGTTAGCTGCTGACATCCACATGGCCCAGAAGCTAATCTCCCAACTTCACTGTAAAATGTGTCCCACAGCTGCAAATTAAAGGTTTGGTTCACGGTTCACACAAATAGTTAAGAAAGGCTTCAGTTAGATTTGCTTCGATTTCTGCTGCCACCTCACTACTGAATTTAGTTTGTGAGGCCTACAGCATCAAAATGTAGTGAAACTGTTCTTTCCAATGTGGTTCTATTTAATACAAACTACAAGAATAAATACTAACATACTAATAGCACTCCTGGGAGTTTTGATATTGAAATGAATGTTCTCTCCACGGACTAATTGATTTATTGACTCGTTTTTTCAGTGCCAAAGAACAATATCTTGTTTTTCATTTGGGCGTACGACCCTTTATTATCTTCTATCTCCTAAAGCTCAGAGCTGGAAGATGTTTCTGTGTTTGCATCTGAAGAAGCTTAAATATTGTGTGCACAAGAGGCTGACGTGGTCTTATTTTTGTCTGCTGCAGCGGTGCTCCTGAAAAATGCGAGGTCAGCTCCTCTCGTGTCTACAAACGGCAGAAATGGCCAGCGTGTGTCCCTGGACGGAGTCAGTTTCTCAGAAGGAGAACTCCTGCTTCAGGTGCAGTAACAAAACACAGTGTCAGGTCATATGTGTGCACCGGTGTTTGTTCAGAATGTGTAATGTGCATGCATTTCCATTATTTCTGCAGGCTCTGAACGGTTTCGTGCTGGTTGTGACATCTGACGGCACGATCTTCTACTCGTCCCCGACCATCCGGGACTTCTTGGGCTTCCATCAGGTAAAACCTTTTACACTCAATACAGTGTTAATATATTTCTGTGTACCGAACTTGGAAAAGTCTTACTCAATACAGTGTAAATATTTTTCTGTTAAAACCCCCCAAGAAGTTAAACAAACTCCTTCTGTGTCATCAGTCGGACGTCTTCCATCAGAGTGTGTATGACCTCGTTCACGTGGATGACAGGGAGATGTTCAAGTGTCAGCTCCACTTCGCCCTCAACCCCAGCAAAGCCGACGCAGACATGAGAGCAGACGGTGCGTTTTTAATCATCGGACATTTAAATCCTAAAAGCGCATCTGAAAACAAGTCCATCTCTAATTGCAGCCGCTCATGTACAGTTGCACTTGAGTTGGGATTTTCTTTTCTTTGTTTTACCTGAATCGTCTTAAAAGGCCTCAAGAAATTCCTAATAATTAATACAACAGACAACTTAAACATGCACATCAAGTCAAACTACTGAAATAATGGAAAACCATCTGGGCCCTTGCTCCTTATCACTGCTCTTATCATTTGGGAGTTTGCTGTGTTTCTTTTCCTGTTGGTTAAAAAAAACAAGCATGAATTTAATGACGTAATTTAAGAAATTCCGACAAGGATATTTCTCCTTTTTCATCTTCCAGAAAAATGCCTTTCAGACAGATACAGTGTTTGAATATCAGATGCTGAGGAACCTAGAAGGCTGGTATGCTGGGATACACTGTAGAGACATACGGGACATCTAAACTACATATTATTTCTCTGCAGGTGGACAGTCCAGCTCTCAGAACTTCTTGCCTCAGTACCTCCCTCCGGAGAACTCCTCTTTCCTGGAGAGAAGCTTCTGCTGCCGCATTCGCTGCCTCCTGGACAACACCTCTGGATTCCTGGTAACATTATCAAAACATTTGTTCAACAGGAGACGCAGACAGTCAGACCATGCAATGCTTTTTTCTCTCTCACGTGCATGAGAGTTGTGCTTGTGCAAATGCACCCCCACTACTGTACTGCTACAGTTTGAATGAATTCTGTGGAAAATGCTGCAATTTCATGTTGACCTGTCCAGTAGTTTTTGCGTCATCCTGCAGACAAACGAAATTAAAAGCATACTTCAACAACTAAGAGTATAGTTGGATTTCAGGAGTGGGAAGACATGATGAGGTGAAAAAAATGATTGAATTAGTTTTAGCAATAGTAATTTAAGACAAATAAATGTAATAAATATGTAATTATATTTTTAAACACACACATGTCTGGGGTGATTCTTATTAGTTTGTGTGTTTCTTTTTACGTGTGTGATAATAGAAGTTTATAAAGAGGAAGAGGTACCAGATGTCTGTGCTTTACCACTGTAAGACAGACTCTTAAAAGAAGGCAAAAGTCACACAACGCCAAGCTGCTGCTGCTGCTGCTGTTTAACTTCTCTGAGCACACAGTGATACATGCAAATGACTCAGATACATGTATTAAGATTTTAACAGCTCAGATTTCTGCTCATCTGGATTTTGGCAGAAAAGTGAAACAGAGGGAGTAACCTTTGCTCTAAACCACAGATTTCAACCTCATTGAGTTGCTTGAGGAAAACTCATGAAGACACCAAAGTCACAAGGGTTAAAGTGGTGAACTCAAAAACATGGTTGAAGAGACGTGTAGCTGGTCGGGATAAGACTCCCATTGACTCGTATGCTGTGTCTCCTCCGCCCCAGGCTCTAAACTTCAGTGGGCGTCTCAAGTACCTGCACTTACAAGGAAATGTCGGGGCTGATGGGACTGTGGCTCATCCTCAGCTCGCTCTGTTCGCCATCGCCACACCTCTGCAGTCTCCTTCAGTCATGGAGATCCGCACCAAGACCTTCATCTTCCAGACCAAACACAGAATGGACTTTGCTCCTGTGGGCATAGACACAAGGTAGATCCTGGAGATTTTGTTTTTTTACTCTTCATATGTTGTTTGTGATATTATGTTATTATTCCAATGCAGTCCAACATTTTCCACCTCTAACAGTCTGTCCTTTGTTCACTCTGGTTTGTTTTCCTTTCAGGGGGAAGCTGGTGTTGGGTTATACGGAGGTGGAGTTGGTCACACCACGCTCTGGGTATCAGTTCATCCACGCTGCTGACATGATGTACTGTGCTGACAACCACCTCAGGAGTGAGTTACTGACTTCATCTATGCATCTAAGCATCATTCGTTTCTTAACCTAACTTATTGTCGGCCTTATGTGCGTCTCATATCCTCCTGCTCTGTCCTCAGTGATTAAAACTGGAGACAGTGGCTTCACGATCTTCAGGCTGCTGACTAAAACAGGACAGTGGCTGTGGGTCCAGGCCCAGGCTCGGATAGTCTTCAAGAAAGGGAGACCAGACTTCATCATCGCTCGGCAGAAGGCCCTCACGTAAGCGCCGCTGTCTGATCTTCAGTTTTTCAGGCCTGGGTTTGTTTTTTCAACATAGACAAATGGCAAACACTGCTTTGTCAGAAATACAGCAGATCTAGGATTTTTCTAAATCAGTGGCCATAAAGGGGCCACAATTAAATCAATTTACTTTTTCTCTGGTTGTGCTCCCTCCACACACTTTGCAAGAAACATCAACAATAATCACAAGTAATTAGGACCTAAGTAAGTAAATGTAAGTTCTGTAACTTTGTGTTTTGTTTGATTCGCTTCAGAGTTTATGAGACACGCATTTAAACACATTATAAAAGTTTTATGCGTACTCAGTTCACCTGTTCACTTCTTGTTTTTCTGTAGAAATGAAGAAGGAGAGGAACAGTTGCTCCAGAGGAGACAGCAGCTCCCGTTCAACCTTGCCACCGGGGAAGGTGTCCTGTACGACGTTTCTCTGGACCTCCTCTCCATCCCTGGTTCTCCTGGCACCAGCGCACCGGGAACCTCCGAGCCCACAACGGAGAAACCTCTGGACCCCGCCTCGCTCCTGGGATCCCTTCACCGGCAGGACCGCTCTGTTTACACCCAGCCAGAGAAGCCCAGTCCCCAGCTCCCATTCTTCTCCCAAACAGAGGACACTGATTGTGAACAACCCCAACCGTCCTTGGAGCATGCCTTTCTGGACAGCCACGCTCTGCTCAGTGTGCCGGGACAGACCCAGACTTTGCAGAAGATGTCCAGCACATCAGATGCCATGATTGAATCTTTGGAGCAGATTTGGGGAGATATCAAGGATGGAGGGATAGAGGGCCTTGAGGTGGAGGAGACTGAGCTGAGGGAGTGGGAAAACACCCTCATCAGGATGAATAAAGAAAGGGAAGATGCATCGAATGAGCTGAATCACATCCTGGCTAATGATGTGTTCTCATATGTGGAGGAGGCTCTGAGGAGAGAGACTGGTGGACTTGTTGTCCAGACTTCAGATCCGACTGAGTGTCATGTTTCTGGCATGATCAGCAGTTTATCCATTCAAGGTGACCACCTTGGGTTGTCAAATAATGAGCCACAGTGGCAGCCAGTGACGGACGTGAAATCTAATCAGAGTGGGTTTGGAGAAGATGCTCTGTTGGGAAATATTCTTGGTGGTGTTGGTGGTTCGAACGGACTGAAAAATGCTTCACAGGCTGTTTTTCAGGGGACGACAAGCACGCTGTGTCAAAACACTCAGCACGGACAATCCTCTTCTCCGTGGCCTCCGATCAGCAGCAATCACCACTGTGGCAATGAGATGATGTCAACACAGACACATCTGTCGTGGCTTCCATCCACACAAAACACCATCAATATTCACAGCAGACTTCAATCTGGCTCGGAGGTGATGGACCAAAGTGAGGACTATTCTCTAAACCACTGTGGTTCACATCAGACCTCCGTGGGGCTACAGCCTCAGGGCCCCTCAGAGTGGCAACAACAACAGCAGCTGTCGCAAAGTTTTCCCCATCACACACTTTCACATTCTTCACACACGCCAGGCAGCGTGAACTCAACAGCTCACCCACGAACACAGCGATTATCTGGCAGCTGCATGTATGAAAAAAGAGAAGGTCACATACCGAACGCTGCGACTGTTCTCAGCAGACAGAACCGGCCTCTCCTGGGACCCACGTGCTACAGAGGAGCCTCACATGCTGCAGGGACCACCTCAAATGCTGGGACCTTCGCCCTGTCCCACCTAGGCATCGACCAGGGGATGATGATGTCCAGTCCCAGCACTCACGTGGCTGCCTGCGCAGATGTGGGCAACATCAGCACGGGTCATCTGAGTGGGCGAGACGCGCACGAAGGGACGCATCGACCAGAGTATCGCGCTGAAAACAGATCATTGCAGTCGGCATTCTTCTGTTGGAACAGTGAAGCTCAGGTAAGATGAGTTGTCAGTGATTTATTTTGACTTAAGGGAAGAATGGCGATTGATAATGTTTACCTTAAGTCAGATTTCAGGATTACTGGTGTGGAGTGTTTCTCAGCTTTCTGCCCAGATGGTTATGATTTGTCTTGGAAAACAGTTTATAAAGGCCCCTGACAGTTTGGATGAGCCTCTCCTCCACCTCAGCTATCCATCAAGTAAGAGGAGTTGTGTAAGGGACAGACAGTGGAAGCATTTCCTTGGCCTGAGTAGGAATAAAACTCTCCAGGTTTCCTCATCGATGCAAATGATGAGCAACTGTTGGGAAATATCTGCTTCTTTAATCAAAAGAAAACATACGAGAAAAACTTTCCGAGAGGTCAATTTCTGAAACCAAGTTTAAAATAGTGGGTTTAAATTTAACCTGAGGAATCTCTGAGCCTTTCAAATCAGTTCATCATCAGATTCTGGGTTTATGTTGGAGGAAAAGTTGAATCCACACAGTTCTTCAGGTGCTGATTTACTCAAGTCAGTGATGGGACCGTGCCACAGACACAGATTACACAACATAATGCAGATACAACCATTCTATGATTAATGTGTGATAAAATCTCCCGTTTGGAGTTAATGTTTTCACCCCTGTCTGTTAGTTCGTTGGTATTTGAGCAAAACTGCATAAAAACCACAGGACGGATTTCAGGGAAGAACTCAGACAACTCAAGTTCAAACGTTTATTGCAACAGTGTTTGGCGCCTAGGCTCAGACTTAGTCACTCCCCCCGGCTATGAGAACAAAGATATGATGGGAGTGATGAGCAAATACTTGTGAACCCCCCGTCGGAGCCGACTGGTGGATGCTGGGGTGGTGGAGGGGCTGAAGCAACTGGCAGCAATACTGACGCAGCAGCGAGGGCAAGCAAAGGGAGTGATGGGAATTATTCTCTGCTTAAATAGACCGGCTGATAAGGTGGGAGTGTGTTATAGATGATTGTGGAGAGTGAGTTATGTCACATGGTGTGTTTTACATGATTGGAGCAGCGCAGCTCGAGCTGGCTGAACTAGCTCACACTATTTTCTCTTCTTCTTGATGAAAGTTAGGCACATTCCTGAAACTGATATTGATACGTGTGTGCAATCCAAGTACAAATCTGGATTTAGTGAATTTAAATGTGGTAACATGGTAATAAGGGGACTGCTGGGCCTTGGTGGAGGTGTGCGCTCTACTAAATGCCATTCTAGTTGTCATGTGTACTTTTCCCCTCTGATGTTGGAGGAATTCAAAAACTATGGAGCTGAATGTTTGCAGCTAATTTCAATAATGAAGTGTTTGGAATTCACTGCAGCTCTGACTGTGCAGAGCACGTGCATGTGAGGTTTTATCCACTTTGCCGAATTAAATCATCAGTCTAGCTCCAACCAATAGTTAGGTATTTTAACTCCTCAATTTTCTATATATTCTAAATATCAAGTTTTTGGAAATAAAGGGCCCATTCTATGCTAAAGAAACAACAATTCATACAACTTAGTTGATTACACACTAGTGAAAACATCACGAGGATTCTTTTATATTCAATTTCTGCCAAAAATTCCTTTCACCTAAATCTTACACACTGAACCTTTAAGTGATTAGTGGACCTGAACCAGCTGGAAATTGGAGTTATCAAGGTAGAGTTCAGATAATCACAGCCTGTCTACACTTTTCTCCCACAGATTCCCAATGGTTCCCTGAACAGCGTTGTCAACCCATTTGCTTTCCCCGTCATTCCTGACGGGAGCATCAACATTTCCCAAAACACCGGGCTGTAGAGACGTTCACACTGATAGATGAGAATCCGACAGTGACTCAGAGACAACTCCTGAGATCATTCCTTCACTGAGAGGAAGAGGTGATGTGTCTGCTGTGGCTCAGCAAGAAATATGGACCTTCTCATTTCAATCTAAGAAACCTCTGCTGCACTACAGTTCTTATCATGCATCGAATATTGACCTGACAAGCTCATCCATTAATTCGCTGTTTTACATAAATTCAGTATGTAGCCAAGCTTCCTGTCAGCAGAGAGCATGAACCAATGGGATTTTTTTACAAGTTAGTCTAGCAGAAGCAGATCTGTCATCAAAGTGCTGCTCTTTGTATTTCTTTAAAACAATCACAATCGTCTGTGGCGACATTAAACCCAGGACACAGCCAAGGTGCCCCAGGGTCAGGGTGCAGGAGTGGTTTCGTTACGGGCTGAGAGGGCAGGAAAACACGACCTGTTCAAGAAATGAATTGTGCTCAATTCACAAATCAACAGTTGGTATAAGGAACTGACAGGGTTCTAACAGAGTCAGACAAAGATGACCATGTAAAGAAAAAATACAGCTCCCTTACTACAGAGGTGACAGTACTCATAGTAAACTTTACATTTAGGAATTAATCCTTTTTACACATTTATTGAGTTAGTCACAAAGTGAGGCCCTGTAGCCCCAGAGTGGTTGTTAAATTTAGCCGTTCAGCCACCATAACAGAATGAATATGAGATAAAGAATTATATAAGCTATGGTCCTTATCAAAACAAAGCACCTGAAGTCCTTCTTGCACTTTGGCTCTCTATAAAACATAGGATTTTAAATTCTAGTTCTTTGCTGCACTTCGTCTCCTGCACTTTGGCTCATTGAACACACGCAGTGCCTAGTATTTACTTCCAGCTCTACATTGTGCTCAAGCTTTAGTGTTGTCCACAAGTTATTAGTGGCTTTGGCCAAATTAGTCAAATCCAACGTAAATGAAACCATTAATCCCCATATGTGGCTTTAAAAGCAAAGAAAATGTTTTTTGTATTTATGTTCTGTGTTGTTTTTTCCCTCCAAAGAGATTATTTGGATTTTACTCAGCTGTGAAATGAAAGAGTGCAATGTAGAAAAACGAATTTACCCAAAGCTGACGCAGCTTTGTTGGGAACAATTGTAACCGCCTGAGAGTTACACTTTTATTTGGACTTGTCAATTATCTGGCAATTTCAAAAGAGTGACAAAGTATGTAAGACACAAAACACACACAATGCTGTGGGAAAATACTGTAAAAGTCATTTCACAAGATCATTTCATCGTTAAGATTCTATTTAGAACACCCACTGAGCATTTATTATATGTATGTAAACATGCAATAACAGGTTTATGACACTATAACGTAGTTGTAAGCAGGTGTAAGGACATTTAGAAGTGTTTATGAACTAAGGCATTTGTCAGCAACAATATATCGTCCAATGTTTAAACACCTGTAGATATATATTATAATATTAAACAGATAGAACAGCTGTAATCATATTAAATGATATATATGACTCCACAGATGAGCTAATCTTTACAGTGTTTTATAGGTCGACTTATTCTGGATTTTTGAGATCACTCCTGAAATCAATATTAGAGGTTTCTTATTATATCATATATATATTATATAAATAAAATATGGGGGAGGTTAAAATAAAGCGTTATCTTAATGAAACACTTTATTTAACCCCCAGTGTAGTCTTTATAAGCAGCATGTACACACCAGATTATACACTATACACTCATAAATACACTCAAACATTTTTGATTTTGATTAATTATTGATGAAATTATAATTATATTATTTCAAATGTAAAAACAAATTGCAAAAACAGAACTCAAAGTCCACTTGAGCTTTCAGTCAGATCTCGAGGCTTTCAACAGGAGACTGAGTTTGCTCTGTTGTCACATAAAAGTATTTTTAAATAAATAAAAAAACAGTGAATAAATCTTATTTCATATTCATAGAGAATATGAGGACATATTTAATGATTACCACCGTGTTATACTATATTTTAACAGAAACTTTTGAATGCGACAGTTACAGATGTGTCACATGAATAAACACTACAATAAACATCTGCATTATAATGTTTTATAAAACATGAATTCATTTTTACTACACTATTTGCAAATACTAAAAGAACAAAGTCATTGTCCCAGAGAGCCTGTTAGACTTTATACTACATGTTGGGTTCATGGCACTTATGTTTTTTAATCTGACATTTTCATCTTGGAGACATGGGAGCGATGGCAGCTGGAGTGCTCACTGTTAACACATTGAAATAAGGCAGCGTGACTCTGAACTGTAAAGAGCTATTGTATATTTTCCCCTGAAAAATCCTGTATCAACAAAGAATTGTGAGTTTGTTTTGTCAAGTCATGTTGATAGAGTAAATATGCACATGAATACATTTTGTGTTACTTGTAGGAGATTATTATTGCCATATTATTCTGTATCTGGATAATTAACCGTAATGTTACACTCTGTATTCTTTGTGTACAAAATATAACCGCTGGGGACAAATGTAATTTATTTTTGCCATTAAAGAATTGTTACCCCTCGGTCGGTCCTGCGTGTTATTCCCTTTGCTGCACCTGAAGCGTTACCTCTGGAGGGGTTCGTCTGAGGACACGGTGTGATTGTTTTCAAACTGGGTCATCTGCAGACCTCAGAAATGAAAAGGTGTCCGGTTCCACCCGGAGCAGCCCGAGTGCCAGCTGGTATTGTTATCTACGGAGTATCTGTGAGCATGATGTCACATGTAATGTTTGTGTTCCCGTCTTCCTGCTCCTCTGAGATACCATGTGTTCCCACAAGACATTATGTAAGCACCCCCGGCCTCCCTCCTCTGTCTGCCCTTACACAGCGTATTCCCCTCGCTCGCTCCACTGTCTGCTCCGGGCACAATAAAATCTTAAAGACAGAAAGAGCTGACTGGCCTTTGAATCTCCAACAAGAGTCTACAGTCACGCTCGCTGCTCTATGAGGGCGCGCTATCACATTACATCACTCAATTTGTATTTAAGAACAGCCGAGAGGAGAAGACTGACTGATTTGCAGGTTATGTGGAGCTTCTTGCACCGAATATATTTCTCATATGCTAAAAAATCGGCCACCGCCACCAAATGATCAAAGCGAGACAGGAAGGAAATGCAAGACAACAAAGGCGGGACACTTGGAGAATTAGGCTAAAGAACCACAAAGACATGAAAAACAACTACAAACAGAAATGTGAAACTGCAAAGTGATACAAAACAATGCAAAACCACCACAAAGACACAAAACTTAAAAGAAAGATGCAAAAAAGACCACAACCAACATGGCTTCTTGGTTTGTGGTTGTCTTAAGTGGATCCACTAATATTCGTGATCACAGGGGTCCATTGTGTCCTAATCTGCCTGTGCATGTGCTTGTATATTTATGTTCCAACTCTTTGCTGTGGTACCTGTGCTTAATTATATCTTAGAAAACTAGAAGGCCTTTCAGAGAGAGGACTCTTGAGAAATTCCCAAACATGTTGAAAACGTCCCCTGTCTCACATTGTTACAGAAAGTGAAAAGAAATGATTGATCTTCTTCTTCTTCTGTGTTGTCTCATGTCTTTATATGGACAGGTACAATTTCATTTTGGCAGATTGTTTTATATTGCATGTCTCTTTGTGGACATTTTGTATCTTTCTGGTCATTTTGTCTTTCTTTGTGACCAGTTGTGTGTCTCTTTGTGGACATTTTGCTTCTTATTGGTCATGTTGCATCTCTGGGATAATTTGTGTGTCTCTTTTCATCTTGAGCTGTGGCCCCCTGGCTCCTTGGGCCCCTGGGCCTATTGTCAGGTAGGTCCCTTCAGTCCATTCATTCTGCTCTTAATTACTTTTGTGATATTGATTGTTTTGAAGGACTGTGTATATACTGCGTCTGATCACTACAGATTTCTTTCCAAATTAATTATAACTAATAATCCTTCCTTGTGTTGTACTCATGTGGGCTGTAGACACTGACTCTACTTTTCCTTTTGGAACCAAAGTGCCTCTTGTTTGAGTCCTAAAACAAGCACATGTGTTGTGCTCATTAGATTTCTCCCTCAAACACATCACGAGTTGATTCTAATTGAGCAATCACCAAATGCATGGTAAACCATTATTTTGCTTTTGTAAAATTAGCTTGAGACCTGTATTTTAGCTGTTTTTTTTTTTTTTTTTAAGGCCATCTACATCCTGCTCTGAAATCCAAGCTGTCCCTTAAGAAAAGACTGCCTGGTCTCTCTGAATGAGTGATTAAACACAAGGAAAAAATAATGTAACCCAATATCACAATCAACCAGAGCCAGGATGACGTTCCCACGCGAGGAATCTGATGCCCTGTTAGGAGCAACAAGAAAGAGAGGAAGACGGGCTGTGAGGGAGGGAGCGAGGGGAGGGAGGGAAGGTGGGAGGAAGCAGCTCTTAAAACAAATGACTGCTCTGGGAGTTGGCTCATTAAAGTTAGTGAGAGGGGAAATAAATGGCAGTGATATTAATGAACCTTTGTTTGAACTTCCTGTCATTTTAAGTTTGGTGTATAAATATTACCTTGGCGTGTGTCTGCACTGAGACTGGTAAATATTTTTGCAGGCAACCCATGTTAAAGTAAAGGAATATTTACTGTTTATTCACTTATGTTACTTCCTACAGTCAGAAATACACAGTATCTGAATCTGTTCCAGACCAGTGGTGGAAAGTAGCTACGCTTTGCATTTCAATGGGAAATATTGTACAATTTTGCTCTACAAATACAAATACTGCACTTTTTGTACATCTGTGGTAATTTGACTGCAACTTACTGGTCATGTCTGATTGAGCCTGTAACGTGCTGTAAACTTTGGCTCCCCCATGCGGCCAAGAGTTATTCTACAGGTGATATTAAAATCGTCATCAACAACCCATGAAAGGTCAATATCAGTTTTATTGTAGGAGGTGAGACAATAAGTATCTGTCACATGTTAGATCACATCCCGGAGCAGACATCCATTAACCCTCCGTTAATGTTGGAGTGGGCGACATCACAGAATTTAAATAGTAATTAAAAATATTTCTAGTATGTTTATTATAAGACTTTGAATAATTATTTATGAATAAAACATGTCAGTAAAAGATTGGGTTGAACCAGTCTACCAGGCCAGGGGCACAAGGAGTCTCTCTCTTGCAAATTATCCAAGAGAGAGACACAAAACCAATTCAAAAAGAAGAAATATATTCTGTTTCAAAGTGACAAACAACATCCATGGAGCGATTCAGCTGATGTGGTTGTTTACTGTCACAATCCAGGATCCTGGCTGAAATGTAGCGCTCAGGTCACTTATTGTTCACGTAGATAGAAAATGTTTAAACACTTTAATTCATAACACTTTACTTATAGATAGCAATTTGTTGTATTCTGTGTTTTCTGCACATCCACCGTTTATTTCATATTGTGTTGAAGCTGGGATAGAAATGTAGTGAAAATCATTACCTTATTGAAAATTCCTTCATCAGCTCTTTTCATCTGATTGCTTAACTGAATAAAATACATTTGAATGCAGGTTGCATCAAACAGAAACAGCCACGATGCAGCGTGAATCATTTTCAGGCTTCTTCTCTGATTTGTCAATGTAATTCCACGTTCTTCAGATACACCGATTGTAAGGGGAGACATTTTGATTACAACATGATTTACTGAGCTTTGATCACATAGTGTTTTGCAGAGGCACTGATGCACGTGAACCTGTTCTGCAGCTGCCCCGCCTGAGGGTGGAGCTGTTGTAACACATGTGGGATGGACTGCTGCTCTGGCCTTGTAGAGTTACTGTAGTTAACTGAGAGGAAATTCTTTTTCAGAGTCAGGGCAAAAACATGGCAAACACCTACTGACGGAGCAGTGACATCAGCTGTTTTCAACAAAGTGCAGCACGGAGAGGGATCAATGATGTTCTCACGTTTCACTCCGGAGGGGGGATCTGTGGGAAATGTGGGAAAGAGAGAACCACTCTAAGTGACCTTGGCCACGAATTTAGTGCAAAAGTCCCTCAGAAATATTGACATTTGACTGTGCAGTTTCTAACATGATGCATTGTGGGTTTGCTCCATTAAACTAAAGTACAGAGGGAAATTTAAAGAATGCTTTTTTTTTGTCATCGTTGCATTTATAGTTTAGTTTATTCTGTTTTCCAGTGGAGAAGGTTTTGGTATGGAGGGGGCACAACCTGACAATTACACTTCGGACAACCATTGGCTTGAGGCGCTGAGGTGTGAATACAGCCAGGATTTTATCTTTGCTCCTCAGTTGAAGCCCATCAGCCAATCATCTACACACTGTATGAGCCTCTGTAAACCACAGGCAGCACGGCATTAATCATCAAGCATGGGGCCTCTGTGAAAAGAACAGGAGCAAAGAACAGGAGGGAAGTTCCTTATATTTCTGAAGAACTAAGCTTTGCATGGTGTAGCCTACATTAATTTACACTTAGATTCTTTATGATGGTGAAATTGTAAAATCTAAAGAAAAGACAGAAAATGCTTATGTTTTAACTTTCACCTTAAATCTCTATAGTGCAGTACCTGTTGTAAACCTATTTGTTTGGATGGGCGGTTCTCTTATCCTGTGTTAAAGCTCCAGAGCGTCAGAATTATTCCTTGTCATCAGTGAGTCCACCTCAAACACTTCTACAATATACTGTTGCCTTTTATTGTTTGTGTTCTGGATGTTGTGTGCAGAGTTAAAAACAGTCCATGGTGCAGAGTGGAGTTAGAAATCTTTGTGTTCCTCCTACCTGGTTTATTTACTAAATCCTTTTTTTGCATCAAATGAAACTGAGTTTGCTTTATTACTGTTCATTTGTGCGATTTATGTATAAGTTTGAATGATTTCCTGAACTGCTGTTGTTTTTTCGCACATTGCATGTCGGCTATTTTAGACGTCTGTTCGATATAAAGTATTGCAGCAACAAAACAAATGCGCTTTTGCTTTGAGGACAAATTTCCAGACAGGACAATGATGTTAGCGCGCTGCCCGGCCCCACTGACTGCTTCAGAGCTCTGGTCCCAGTTAATGCAATTTTAATTAATATTGAACGTATTGTGATTGCATCCAATTCAGCCCTGCACTGTTTTGGGCACAACACACAAGTATGAGGCCGATTAGATGAACAGTTCGTGACATGTGCGTTCCACAACATGCAGGTAAGGCAGGTAGGTAGGTAGATATAGATTATTATAATTCTGTTGTATCATTCAAATGTATCATGACATTTCTTGCATGTTTATATCTTGCTTAATTTCACTGTGTAAATAGTTTACATGAATTCAGATTCATGACAATACATTTTGTTCATTTTTCCATGGTCACTCACTTCAGTTCAATGACATGAACTCTATTTTTCTATCTTATTGTGGAAGGTACTTTGTTTTTCATGTAGTTTTTTTTCTCTTAGTTTGAAAACATTTGTTCAATTATCTGGATGTAGATTAGTTTAAATCATAGCATTGGCCTTCATCAAGCACATTGATAAATCCTTTGCAGGGGCCACATACAAATATTT